CCGCATGCTGGAGAGAAACTGCAATAAGATGACAGTCAGTGCCTGCACAAGCAATAGCGAAGTCATCAACATAGAGTGATGACCAAATATTGGGTGGAAGAACAGAGGCCAAATCTTTTTATAGCAAGGAGAAAAAGTGTTGTGCGTAGAACACATCCCTGAGGGACACCTTCAGCTTGGATGAAGTCCGGGGAAAGAACATTATTGACTCGAACACGGAAATGTCTGTCAGTTAAAAAGTTCTTAAGGAAGGATGGTAGATTGCCTCGGAGGCCTAAGGAATGGGCCTGGGCCAAAATATTATACCTCCAAGTTGTGTCATATGCCTTCTCAAGGTCAAAAAATATGGCAATAACTGAGTGATTATTCGCAAAGGCATTACGAACATACGTATCCAAGCATAGTAAGGCGTCTATGGTAGAATGACCCTTACGAAAGCCATATTGACTAGCGGAGAGACTGTTGTGTGTCTCTAAATACCACATTAAACGTCGATTTACGAGACGTTCCATCACTTTGCAAACTGCACTAGTAAGAGCGATGGGACGATAGTGGGAGGCATCATGTCCTGTAGTACCCGGTTTGCGGAAAGGGAGAACAATGGCAGATTTCCACAGCTGGGGAAGAACTCCTTGTGCCCAAATAAGATTGAAGAGGTGTAAGAGGACTACAAGGGCTGACCGATGTAAATGTTGTAACATACGAATATGAATGTCGTCAGGCCCAGCTGCCGATGATCGGCAAGCTGAGAGCGTTGCCTCTAGTTCTTGAAGTGTAAAAGGCACATTATACTGTTCTTCTCTGAGAGAAGAAAAGTCCAAGGGTACTAACTCTCTGGCAGACTTTGAGGAAAGAAACGAGGGGCATAGATGGAGCCCTCGGGAAATACGGACCAGATGTGTGCCAAGTTCAATGGCAACGTCGAGAGGGTTTGCTACATCAACACCAGCGACCCGTAGAACAGGAGCCAGGTCAGGAGAGTATTTACCACTCAATTTCCTCACTTTTTTCCAGACTGCACTCATAGAAGAAGCAGAGGTGATGGTGGAAACAGTCTCGCCAACAAGTGCGTTTAGCTTCACGGATGACACGGCGAGTGATCGCACACTTCTGCTTAAAATCAAGAAGTCTCTCAGCGGTTCTATTGTACCGGTACCTGCCCCATGCAGCGCATTTCAAATGTACTGCACGAGCACAAGCAGGAGACCACCAAGGCACGCACTTCTGAGAATGCCTGCCTGAGGTTTGGGGTATAGAATGAGAAGCTGCGGTATAAACTGACGTCGAGAAGATGTGTAGGAGCTCATCAATGGAGGATGAAGGAACCTCAGTAAAAGCAGTGAGGTGTGAGTAGAGATCCCAATTTGCCCGATCAAATTGCCAGCGAGGGCTACGGAAAGGTGGTGAATAGGAAGGAGAAGTAAGAACGATTGGAAAATGATCGCTGTCATGTAAGTCCGGTAGAACAGACCAGGTGAAGTCTAGTGCAGTGGAGGAAGAGCAGACTGATAGATCGATGCAAGAGAGAGTATGAGTACGAGGATCAAAATGGGTGGGAGTACCTGTATTTAAAACATGGAGGGGGTGAGAGGCGAGAAAAGCCTCCAACTGGATGCCACGTGAGTCACAATGAGACCCCCCCCCCCCCAGAGGAAATGGTGGGCATTAAAATCACCAAGTAACAGAAGTGGTGGTGGTAAGGATGAAACAAGAAAGGCAAAGTCTGGGATAGAAAATGCTCGAGAAGGAGAGAGATATAAAGAACATATTGTAAACCACTTATTCAAGTGGATACGGGCTGCAGTGTAATGCAGCGAGGTATGGACAAATAGTTGACAGTACGGAATATTATTGCGTAGAAGAAGGGCACTTTCATTAAAGGTCCCATCTGAGAAAGGATCCGAAGAATACAATAAATTATAGCCTGAGATAGGTTGGAAAACAGCCGAGTGTAATTTTGGTTCTTGTAAGCAAGCACCAACAGGGGAAAACCTGGAAAGCAACATCTGAAGCTCACCCCGATTACCCCTGAGGCCGTGGATATTCCACTGTAAATAGGCCATGATTGGCGATGAAGAAAATACCAGGAATCTGTAGGTAAAGGCACCTACGGACTAGAGGGGTTAGAAAAGTCAACGTGTGGTGGCATTGGAAGATGTTCAAGCAGCGAAGGAACGGAGCGTTGCGAAGAATGGGGTTGTGAAGATGAAGGAGAGGGAAGAGAAGGAACAGGAATGAATCAGTGTCCATTGAAGGCTTAGTCTCTGCAATATATTCTGAAATGGCTTCAAGTGTTTCTGAATTCAAAGATGTATGGGAGACCATATTGGAGATAGAAGGAGGAGGGTGAGTAAAGATTGGGACAGTAATGGACTGCACCAAAGCAGAGGGGGAGGGAAGAGTGTAAGGGACTGGAGATGAAGTGTGGGGGGGGGGGGGGGACAGAAGAGGCAGAAACCTGGGAGGTGGCAGAAGAGGGAGAAACTTGGGAGGGGACGGGGGTGGAAGGCATAGTACGAGGAGGAGGGTGAATCTCCACACTTGTAATGGAGCCAGAGAGAGGGGAAGAACTAGGTACAGAGACTGGAAAGGTAAAGTGTGGAGGTGGAAGAAGGGAAGGAAGGGGCAAAGAAGATTTGAGCAATGTGGATTTTTTGGACTTCTGAGAAGTAGAGGGGCGATTGGTATTAGGTGTCGTACGAGGTCTTGTCGATACTGGGGCTTGTGAGGAAGGACGCAAAGATGTGAGAACAGACTGAGTTGTAGTCGGGACGTCAGAGCCAAGGACGGCAAAAGGATTAGATGCCGGAGTGGCTATGGGAGGGGTAACAACAGAGGAGGCTGCAGAAGATGGGACCCCAGAAGTAGGGGGATGTTTGGAAACACGAGAATAAGAAACACGGGGTAGTCTCCCTTGGAGGCGGAGATGAGTAACTGCCATAGCATAAGGGAGACCTTCTGCCTCTTTGAGGCAACGGATTTCACGTTCATTTAAGTAGACCTGGCAACGGCGGGAGTACGAAGGGTGAGCTTCATTACAATTAAGGCAAGATGGAGGTTGACTGCAAGATGTATTAGAATGGTCGTCGGCACCACAGACTGGACATTCGGCCATAGATCTGCAATATTTCGCTGGGTGACCAAAACGCCAGCAATTTCTACATTGTTGCGGTGTAGGTATCACCTTTCGAACTTGTAACCGATGTCCCGCGACATATACAGAGGACGGGAGTTCTCGGCTGTCAAAAGTTAAACGAGCCACATTGCAAGGGTAACGTCTCCGCCCCCAGGCAGGAAGGACATAAGTGTCTACTTTGAGGATTGGGAGATCCTGGAGTTCCAGCTGTTCAAGAATGTCATTGCCACATGACTGGAAATTCTGTTGGACTATGGTATGGGGCAGAATGACAGTACCACTACAAGAATTGAGAGAAAGATGTTTTTCAATAGTGATAGGAGTAGTATCGATATTCGAAAGGAGAGAAAGATCATGAGCTTGGGTAGCATTCTGGACAGTGACGATGCGCGTACCGCTCTTGAGAGCATGAAATGAAATATCTCTACCAACATGACGCAGGAGCGCTTTGCCAATACTATGGTCAGAAAGGTAGGCAGAAGAAGAAGTTGGTCTTAAAGTAAAGAATTTAGTCCATTGTGTGGTCCGAAACTGAGCGTGGAGAGGGAGTGCTTGACGTGTCGGTCTTTTCCGAGTAGAATGGGAAGGTAATGAAGGAGCATCATCAGGAGATTTGACGTTGGTGTTTAGGAGTAGGACCGGAGTTGGTCCGGCGTGAAATGGGCGGGCGACTCGAAAATTGCCGTACCATAGAGGGAGAAGCCGGAAGCATAGTCAAAGGAGAGCGGAGTTCAGACAAATCGAAGGAGTCAGTCGAAGCCCCGGTACCTGAAGCGGGTGAGGAAAGAGCACCAGCAAGAGGTACAGGGGCATCAGGAGTGTCCGAAGAGTGGTCTAAACACAAGGCAGGGTCAGAATGGGGTGCGGTATCAAGAAGGGGCCCGGGGGTAGTGGGTTCATGGATTGGGTTCTCCATGGTTAGGTTACTCCTTTGCTTTTTGTTTTTAAGAAAAAAAAAAAGAAAGAAAAAGAAAATAAAAATAAAAAAAGAATAAAAAAAGGGGGGAGCGGGGAGGAATAGTTCCCAGGAGGAATGAAAGGGCCGGAAATCTCCCTCCGCGCCCAAGAGGACCTCAGCACTGCTAGTAGCGCAGATGCAGCATGGAACCCGTGCCATACCCTACCCTTCATGCCAGTAAACCACCAATCCGGGATAGCAACCTCACATCTGCCGAGCTATCTCGGTGGACAAAAGAGAGGGCGGGCGGATATCCGCCACAAAGCATACCTCCTTCGGCCACCACCCCTGGAATCTGAAAGGTGGCTTCCAGAGATACACCCGTCGCCCGAAAGACACCCAAAGCTACTCCGGGATACCGGAGAGGGATCGGGACATCCCCAGGCGATCCAGATTCCACGGCAAACTACGCCACCGCCAAGAACCTCAACGGAATGGGATGGACCCCGGTGTTCTTTCCCCTACCTAGGAACTAGCACGCCTGTGGGAGAAAGCCCAAAGGCCAAAAAGAGGAAGGGCAAAAGGGAGGGGTGGGGAGGAGGAGGAGGAAGAATGGAAAAAGGGGAGGATGGGATAGGGGAGGGGAGAATGGGGGGTAATTAGGTTCGGTCTGAGGAAGAAGATTCATTACACAACCTTTCATTATACTTCCTTTAGCATATTAAACAGTTAGCACACCCTACCCTGCAATGCTATATAACCCTTGTGGGTTTAGTGCTTAGTCTGATAATTAATGATGCTAGTGAGGAGTTCTTGATCCAGGGAATTTAACCTGTCCTCCCTTGCATTGGCCTGAATTTGATTGCCTCCCATTCTCAAGGTGCTGTATGACTCCTATGGTTTTAGTGCCTCCCATTAATTTAATAATTTATAGTTCAACATATAATGATTAAATGAAATGGTTACTCTATTTGCATTATTACATTTTTCTGCATAAAGTGTATTTTTTCCACAACACTGCCACCACCCCTCTTCCATTAAATATATATCTCACCTCTTGTAGGACTGTATAACCCTTCACATGAATACAATTTTTCAAGAGTGCCTACTGAGCTTAAATGACAACACAATCCTTGCAACTTTTCAAATATTAAAAAATAAAAATGCATTATGCCCAGCAGTGTGTATGGAAGTGCATGCATGTGATATTAAGCAAAACACTGAAAAATTTCATAACTAAGCACAAACCTTTCCAGGGAGGAAGAGGGGTGCAATGATGCTGGTCTCTTGATACAAGGAACTGACGCTATCCTTTCCCGGAGCAAACCTGAATCTCCTCCTATTCCTCAAACACTTTATGGGCTTAACACTTTCCCAATATAATAATTACATGAATAATTTAAAAAGATATAAACCTTAATTTTTCTGGTAATTTGAAAGTAACCCCATTAATAGGTGAAAAATACTCAAAAAAAAACCATTATGATTATGAGCCTGGCCCATAGTCGGGCTCCAGAAGTAAAGAATCAAAACTCATCAAAGCTATATTATCAGTAATGAGATTTGAAGCAAACTGCTGAAAACTTAAGATTGAATACAGCCCCCCCTCCCCCCCCCCCAAAAAAAAAAAAATTGAAAATAAATAGCAGTTATGTCGAGTAAAGATGTGCATAAAAAAATTATAGTAATTGGTTTACACTGGATAAAGTACTGAAATACTTGGTTTCTATACTGTACCTGCAGTTCATGAGAATGAAAATTTTAGCCTTATGTAAGACATACGAAGGCAAGGAATGGTGTTACGTTACATTAATGGAATGATGCATGAAGATAAAGAGCTCTTATCTTAGGTAGGTGCACTGGTGAAGGTCAGAGCTTGTTGCCATACTACAGAGTTGGAGGGTGATGGTGGCTGATGGGCTGCCAGTACCACTTGTTCAACAGCTTCAGCTTCATTATCATTTAATGAGCCCAGTGCAGATGTCATTCTCATGGTTGACACACACTCTGACTGTAATCCCCCACTTGATCCTACCCCTTCCTGAGCATCAACAGTGTGTATATTAACTGAGGCTCCACCATTTGCAAGTGATCGGGAAGTTGAGGTTACTGCTGATGCAGTGCCTGTCACAGACAACCCTGGAATCAAGGATATAAACTGCCCTGATGGAATAGAAAAGGTTACTGTATCTGGACTGTCAGCAGTTACTAATGTTAAAGCAGCTCCCTGCTGTCCCCCATCGCTGCGGACCAATAAGGGACGAGCAGTCTGTGTTGGTCCTACCATAACTTGCTGGCTTTCAGTTCCAGTGCCCACTAAACGTACATATTGTTCTCCACTTGCCAGTGGAGTAATCTCTCCCATTGCCTGAGTCAGCAAGTCATCCTCTGTTCCCGCTGCTCCAGAAGTACTTGGCTCTCCACGTGCCAAACTCACCAAGCGAGGAGTACGTAGAAGACTACCATCTGTGACAAGTTGACCTCTTAGTGCAAGCTCTCCAGACAAGCCATCAGGAGCCTCTAGCAAGGGATCAACATTACTCACTGCTGACTCAGGAACATCAGGAGCATAATCTTTGTGGGATGGGCTGTCAGCACAAAGGACTGGATGTTGGTGGCGCTGGTGTCGCACAAGTCTTGCTCTTGAAGTATACTGACGATAGCACCACTTACACGGGTGTGGATATGTAGTAGTAGCACCAACAGTTTGGGAAAAAGATGGTCCCTCACCACTTTCACCCTCATTGTGGGTAGTGGACGGTGGTGGAAGTTCAGCTCCAGGGTGATACTTAAGAATATGCAACTTGCGTTTGCTGCTGCTACGATACATCTGGAAAAGCAATAACAATTTAACAGATAATGTAAATAATTATTTGAATATTTAGCAGAAATTATAGCTTTATCTTTGAATGTTCAGATAAACAAACTACATATACTTCAATCTATTGTAGTATCGCATTCCACATTATGCATATCAACTATCTTGGGAAACGTGGAAGCCTTACTTTATCACAATACTGGCAGTAATAACATCGTGTAGCTTTGAGGATGGGTTGGTTAAGTTCAGGTACACTTGTCAGGTCCACACTGGGATGTCTTTTGGCCAAGTGGTTCACCAGCATTCCTCGCCTTTTAAAACCAAGAAGGCATGTGTGGCACTTGTACACAAATTGTTTATAATCTGTTGGATCAACCTAGGATGAAAAGAAACATAATTATGTTCTACATATCATTTGAAAAACAATGGAAACACCATTTTTGTGTTCTACACTTTATTTGAAACACACTAGAAACACCATTATCCCAGGAATACAAAGACATTCATGCAAGTGTCAAGTAATATGTGCCATAACTAGGCATAAGCAAATTGGGAGAAAGTTGTAGTAGTGAGATTTTAGGTATTGAGGAGGTTGAAGAGGTATGGGGTAGTTCTAAGAATCCAGTGTTAGTGTGTGCAGCAGAAGTTTGTAGATTTAGGAGGGTGGGTGTGAAGAGGAGTGATTGGTGGAATGATGAGGTAAAGGGAGTGATAAGGGAGAAAAAGTTAGCATATGAGAGGTTTTTACAAAGAAGTGATATAATGAGAGTGGAATATATGGAGTGTAAATGAGAGGTTAAGAGTGGTGGGGAAATGTAAAAGGAGAACAAATGAGAGTACGTGAGGTTCTGTTTACAAATTTTCCTCAAAATAAGAAAGAGTTTTGGAGCGAGATTAACAGGTTGAGAAAGCCAAGGGAAACAAATGGATTTGACAGTTAAAAACTGAAGAGGAAAGTTATTAGATGGGAAGATGGTGGGAATATTTTGAACGGTTGTTAAATGTTGATGAAGGGAGACCGATACTGCATTGCTCAGTAAGGAATAACATCCTTTAGGAGTGAAGTAGAGCCAAATATGAGTGTGGGGAGGTGCACAAGGCATTGGGTAGAACGAAAGGGGGTAAAGTAGCTGCGGGGATACAGTTTTGGAGTGGTTGGTATCTATGTTCAATAACTATAAAATTTTAGGGTAATAAGCCTACTGAATATACCAGGTAAAATGTATGGTCGAGTTATTATTAAAATTTAGAATTAAGGGCACGATGGAGAGCAGGATAGCAGGTGAACAAGGAGGCCTTATAAGGGTAGGAGGGGTTGTTAAGGTGGTTTGTATATTCAGAGAGGATAGAGCAAAACAGGATGACTTTGAGGGTGTATAAATCTGTAGTGAAGGGAAAGTGGGATAGGGGTCATCCTTGGAAAGGTTGGGAAGGAGGGAGGGAGGAGGTCGGGGGTAAAGGAAGTTTTTTTGTCCAAATGGTTTGGATTTCTAACAAGCATGTGTGAGCATGTTAGATAGGCATGGAGGCAAATGAATTTTGGGCCTTGGCAAGCTGTTAGAGTGTGATTATTATTATTATTATAATCAAGGGGGAAGTGCTAAACCCATAGGATTGTACAGTGCCTGTGGGGGGAGGTGGATGTGGAAGGTATTCAGGCTCAATTCAGGGAACTAGGGCACAGATCCAATTTCCTAAATCAAGAGCCCAGCACCAGCATCAAGGAACCTCCCTTGAGGGGTGTTAGTGTGAGAGCAAAGCAACATTTTGTGAAGGGATTCAGGGAAACTGGTTAACTGGACTTGAGTCACTTTAGATGGGAAATACAGTGCCTGCACTCTGAAGGAGGGGTGGGGCTATCTGCCGTTTGGAGGGGCATCTGAACTGTAGTACTGGCAAGCCTTTGGCAAGACAGTTATAAGAATGAATGATGGCAAAAGTGTTTCTTGTTTTGGGTTGCCTTACCTTGATAGGAGACGGCCTGTGTTAAAAGGATCTTAAACCAATCCAGATTTATGAGCACCCTAGTTATTTAATGTCCCAAATACAAAATGTAATGTACAGTGGAACCTCTACTTGCGAGCACATCCACATGTGAGTTTTTCCAAATACAAGCAGTCGATGGGTCGATTTTTTACTTCACTACACGAGCAAAATTTCCATAAGCGAGCAGACCTCAAGGCAGGTTTCTTGACGCTGGTGAGGGGCTCTTGCTCTTGATCTAGGGAATTGTATCTCGTTTGTTTGCTGGACTATCTTATTGAAACTTGGGCAATGTATGATGGAAAGATGCTTCTTAATGTACACCAAAAATGAAAGAAATCTAAGCATAAATAATGGAGTTCACTTCTCAGCAATTAGCCTCCCCTTAGCGGTATTTTCGTATGGTTTTTATGGTTGTATTCTTGTTTTTTTGGTCTCATTTGATAGAATGGAAGATATATTACAGAAATAGATATGATTTTGATTGCTTTCAGGATGAAAAATACCTTGAAATTGAGCTCAACGTAGGAGAAATGTTCAATTGTTTTGGCTATGTTCAAGAGTAAAGAAATGACGTAACTGTCCATTCCAATATGCAGTCGTGAATGGGTTGACATTATTTATACAGTTATTGCAATAAAGCATAACAGTAAATCTTATATTGTTTGTGTGAATAAAAATCACAAATTATTTATATTGTAATAATAATAATATGTATAATAATAATAGTACATGGTAGGATACGGCCGGTTTGTTAAAAAAAAAAAAAATAATAATACATATATAATAATGTACTACATAATAATTATAATAATAGACAGCTTCAAAAGGGCATCACTAGAAGGCAGTGTTTACCACAACAAAGAGGGAGCGGTTGTGGCCGCCTCCACCTGTTACATAATGGCGTATTTTATTCATTCTAGAGTATATATCAGGTTTCTATGTTATTTATATTGTTTATTATTTCATATTAGATGAACTGTGATAGATAGACAAGCCGTAGAGCTGATAATAGCGAAATATTCAAGGAGCATTTTGTCCTGTCTCCAGACAAACACACTCTGCAGCTGTTGCCGCCACATATATAATGACATATTTTATTCATTCTATAGTATATATCAGGTTTCTATGTTATTTATATTGTTTATGTCATATTAGATGAACTGTGATAGATAAATAATCCATATAGATGATATTAGCGAAATTATTCAAGAAGTATTTTGTCCTGTTTCCAGACAAACTCTCGTCCACTTCCGACACTGCCCATACCACTACATGAACGACATATTTTATTCATTTTAGAGTATATATCAGGTTTCTATGTTATTTATATTGTTTATTATGTCATATTAGATGAAGTGAGATAGATAAATAAGCTGTAGAGTTAATATTAGCAAAATTATTGAAGTACAGAATTCCACTGGAACGGATTAATTGCATTTCAATTAATTTAAATGAGGAAAATTGACTCTGCAAACGAGCAAATCCAGCTGCTAGCAAGGTCATGGAACGGATTAAACTTGCAAGTAGAGGTTCCACTGTATTAGAAATTTATCACTTTTTTTTAATACTGGCTGTCTCCCATCGAAGCAGGGTGCCCTGAAAAAGAAGAAACATGTTTTTTTTCATTTTACATTCAGTAATTTATACGGAAGAGGTTACTAGCCCCTTGCTCCTGGAATTTTAGTCGCCTCTTATGACCTGAATGACTTAAGGAGAAAGGATTCTTCTCCACTTCCCCATGGAGATAATTTATCACTTATCTGAAATAAAAAATTAAAAGAATATCCTTTTTGAAATTTAAAATTTTTTCTCTTATTTTGAAAATTCGAAATTTTGAAAGCATTAAAACTTAGTTTTTAAGAAAATAGTCTCTTATTTTATAAAAATTAGTTTTTTAAAATAAAATACATAATTTTTGTCAAAATTCATAGTTTTTTTAATTTTGGGTATCTAAAAATCAAAGTTTTATTTTCGAAACCTGGGATTATTCCATGCAAAAATATTCAGAATAAAGAAAAACAGAGTGAACTAAAGATTAACACCAAGTGTAAAGCAATCTTCTATTTAGTCAGTGTTGAACTAAGATACCTTCCCCAGAACAAAATATGGACACACATCATGGTTCCTAGACCACCAGCCAGCAGTATATTGGTGATATATAATGCCAGGTTGAATTAACTAAACTTTTCAAAAATAAACATTAAGGTTCTTTGACAGATGATGAATCTTTACTTTGTTTTAAAAATTGACAAATTACTATCAATGCAGATACATACTAAGATTTTATAACTTTATTTTCATATTTAATTTAGCAGCATTCTAATTTAATGATCAGTTCCAGTTAATAGTTAACAAGTGCATCATTAGTCTTGTTAAATGCTGTAAAGATATATTTATGCTCAGTTACAGTAGCCTACACCACAAATTCACCTGTACAGTATTATCTAATTTTGTCCATACAATTCATCACTAATACTAAGAAATCTGCATGTTTTGATAATGTTTCCCTGTTCAAGAATGTAACACTTAACAAAGCAAACTGTTTTCCACAATAGCGAGAGGTCTTTTCCATCGCAGCTGATGGCATTTGCTATTGCTATTCCAGTGGTGGTTATGGAACTTGAATTCAAAATGATGATTTTGTAGCATATTAATATAGCATTATCCTAATGAGATTTTATACACCTGATACAATACATGCAAATAAGCTTAAAGGATCTTAAAACATACTGGTATATCTCCATATCTTCAACTAAACCTTTGGCTAGGAAAAACCTGGAGACATAATTAGCAACAGTTACTTTACATGATCACTTTCACTGCACCTTAGGGACAAACTTGGGTGGTGCTTTAGGAACCGATTTAGAATCTCGGGCCTCACGTTCAGTTGAATGCATGCGCTTCGAGTGTTCACGAAGTTTGTCCTTCCGTTTAAACCTCTTTCCACAATCTGGACAAAGGAAGTCACGCCGATCTGAATGACTGTAAAAATATCAATACATATGTAAGAAAGATAAAGAATAATTAATTAGGCCACAAATTTATAAATTTTTAAATAAAAAATAAACTGCAAATATCAGTTATTTTATCATCCTGTTTCATAATTATTATTACATTCATAGGGAGAGCACTAAACACATAAGAGCCATGAGACACTTATGCAGCATATGGGAATCTTTATTCAGGAAACGTTTCGCCACACAGTGGCTTCATCAGTCCAATACAATTGGACTGATGAAGCCACTGTGTGGCGAAACGTTTCCTGAATAAAGATTCCCATATGCTGCATAAGTGTCTCAATCTTCAACTTGTCGGTTTTTCAAACCATTCATCACATAAGAGCCATACAGTACCTAGGGAAATTGAAAGCATTCACACTCAGGAATTGGAGCATAGGTCCAAATCCTTAGATCAGAAGCCCCTCACCAGCATCAAGGAACATCCCGTAAGAGGTTCGTGTTTTTCAAACAATTTTATTACAAAACAGACCAAATAAAATTTAAAGCCATAACTTGACTTATAGCACCACACACTTGTAATACTGATTCTATCAGGAATGTAATACCAGTCAATAATGGTTGACTTGAGACTAAAATTGTAGATCAAGATCTCTATCAAATATTTTGCTGCTGCCCTACTTGCCTCAGCATATGAATCTTTAGCTTGTCAATCGAAGGCATCTCTTTACTGCAAACAGAACAGGTATGTGGCATGACAGCATGGTATGACCGTATGTGGCGGCGTATTTTACTATACGTAGGGAATACCTGCAAGAGTAAATTATCACCTTGAAAAATCACATTGATGTTATCTTCCTGTTGAATATGAATATAATTAAGTTTATGGTAATCTGAAGTCTAGTATTAAACACAATAATGAAAGTTGAAATTAAGACACATGTGCAACATCTGGGTATCTTTATTGTAGACGTTTCGCCATCCAGTGGCTTTATCAATACAAATTCCAGGACATAACTTGAAGACAGTAGGACTATATACAGAAGATGAGGTAATCAGTCCCTCAACTTAGGAGTAGGTGCGAAGAGCACCGTAGTCGTGGAGATTCTGAAGCAGAAGCAAGGAGCCTGGCGCTTATACTATACTAACGTCAGGTGTAGCAAACGAGGGCATAGTCACTGGTAGGCGGGATTTCCCAGTGGAAGTAGGTCCTTCCCAAAGAGATGGGTTAGTTGTAGTAGTAGTAGTTGTAGTAGTGAAGATTACGTACATGTCCTCGTCTGCTACACCTGACGTTAGTATATAAGCTCCAGGCTCCTTGCTTCTGCTTCAGAATCTCCATGACTACGGTGCTCTTCGCACCTACTCCTAGGTTGAGGGACTGATTACCTCATCTTCTGTGTATAGTCCTACTGTCTTCAAGTTATGTCCTGGAATTTGTATTGATAAAGCCACTGGATGGCGAAACGTCTACAATGAAGATACCCAGATGTTGCACATGTGTCTTAATTTCATCTTGTTGGTATTATATACCATTCTTGCACAATAATGAAAGTTATTGAAATGACTAATCATAATCATTCATTAATGTTATCAAGGCTAAAGCTCTTAAAAAATGCATCTGAGCCCCACTACCTATCACTTTATAATTGTATGTGCATAAGTTCAACATTTCAGACTATGAGAGTAAATGAGCTGAACCCCTTAGTCATCTTATTAACCATGTACAGTACTGTGTATAGTAAACCATACCATGGGCGGGATTTGAACCCGCGGTCATTACGATTTCCTGAGTCTGTGTATAGTATTTGTAAAAACTTTTAAAGGTTTTGCTTTAGCTGCTAATCAGGCTAAGTAACCTTCTACTTGTGCCTAAACTAAGTGAAAAAACACTTGGATAATAAAGTTTTGATTTGTTTAAAATATACTGATGAAGTAGTGCACAAAATAGTGCCACAAAAATTCATATGAATTACCATGCATGTGAAGGAAAAGTTCATACTAAGGTATTAATGTTTATATTGGGATGAATGCAAATGGTTTTTGGCCTTTGTTACTTTGCTCTACTCTTGTAGGAGCTTGTAATGTCAGCACCACCTTTGAGCCAGCTCCCTGACTCACGGTGTAATTCACCTGGTGATATGGAGTATGTCTCTTTTCGATTCTGTTTTTCTTTTACTAGTAGACTGTGCCCTGGATCAGTCCTCATTTCACCCCTCATTGGACTCCTGAAAACCCCACAGGTTTGGAGTGGGTCACCCAAACCGTGAGGGATTAAAAAGGACTTGTTATTGTACAGTAGCGTAAACTACCGATTCTGAAATTCTGCTCACTTATTTGACTGTGCTCGGTGTTGGCTCTGTGATTACCCTGCATTCTTAGGTCAAGCGGTTCACTCTGCATCTGTAGTAGAGGTCATTTGTATCTGCTACATCTCTAGGCGGGGTAGGGGTCGGCCTAGGAAAGGTTGGAGGGAGGGGGTAAAGGAGGTTTTGTGTGCGAGGGGCTTGGACTTCCAGCAGGCATGCGTGAGCGTGTTTGATAGGAGTGAATGGAGACAAATGGTTTTTAATACTTGACGTGCTGTTGGAGTGTGAGCAAAGTAACATTTATGAAGGGGTTCAGGGAAACCGGCAGGCCGGACTTGAGTCCTGGAGATGGGAAGTACAGTGCCTGCACTCTGAAGGAGGGGTGTTAATGTTGCAGTTTAAAAACTGTAGTGTAAAGCACCCTTCTGGCAAGACAGTGATGGAGTGAATGATGGTGAAAGTTTTTCTTTTTCGGGCCACCCTGCCTTGTGGGAATCGGCCAGTGTGATAATAAAAAAAAAAAAAAACATCTCTAGGAACCCAACAACTTGATTTACTCTGGTGTGTATCAGTGTCCTGCACCAGCTCCATGAATTCAAGAAGCCCAGACTGTCATACCATCTACAGAGTCTGAGACAACCAACACAGAACCTGCAAGCACCTACCCTGACCAATAGCTAATTCTGTTACACAGTAGGTTTCATTGAGCTGTAAGATATTATTACTGTTTTATTTTTATCTCTGAGTGTGTGTCATTTTTCTATTTAGTATTTACAAGAAAATAAGAATACAGTCGTCTTCTCTGTATTTAAATACCCTTTTTTAATCTTACGTTGTAGGTTTTGTTATATATCTTTTCGTAAAAGTTTAAGGCTGATAACCCCAAGTATTATAACAAGGAAGTCAACATTTCCTTTACACTTGGTGATCCTTTCCCTTACATGCAATGTTAGAGTGTAGGAGAGTAAAATACGAAAAATGGATTGTAAACTTAGGTATAAATGTCAGTTGTCATATATGGATGAATGCCAAAAGTAGTGAAAATCTCATGGAATATCATGACACTAGCACATCCACATGGATAAAACAAAACAGATATAAAGAACAAATACTGCACAATTTGACTTAGTAATGAGACTTAGAAGGCCCTACTGAAGAGGGCATCATTGGTAGTAATAAAATATAATTTTCTTGTGTGTTTTACTTTATTTATGAGTCTCTTTGTACCACTGACTACTGTTTATGATACACTGTGCTTGGATAGAAAAGCATCTCACTAACAACAGATAAATGCTGAAATAATCACATAATGAGAAATGGCTAATGCAAAAGACCTTTAACCCTTTGACTGTTTTCGACGTATAAATACGTCTTACGAAGCCAATGTTTCTGACGTATATATACTCAATAATTCTAGCGGCTTCAAATCAAGCGGGAGAAAGCTGGTAGGCCCACATGTGAGAGAATGGGTCTGTGTGGTCAGTGTGCACCACATAAAAAAAATCCTGCAGCACACATTGCGTAATGAGAAAAAAAAAAAATCCGATCGTTTTTTTGGAATAAAACGCCGACTTTGAGGTGTATTTTCGTATAGTATTTATCATTGTATTCGCGTTTTCATGGTCTTAGGTGATAAAATGGAAAACATATTACAGAAATAGAGATGATTTTCATTACTTTGACGATGAAAACGACCTTGAAACTGAGCTCAAAGTAGCGAAAATGTTTGATTTTTACCAATGTTCAGGAGTAAATAAATCACACCACACGTCCAATACACGTCAACTGGGGAGTCTAATATTCTTTCACTAGTTCACTGATATTATTTATACCATTTTTACAATAATGCAGTAGTCTGCATAACAGTAAATTTTGTATTTTTTTGTATGAATAAAAAATCAAAATAGAAAGCAATAATAATATAAGAGGGGCCTAGAGATGTGACTAATGAACAGAGCATATGTTATTTTAGTGCCACGAATGTCTACCTTGTTTATTCTGGACCCTATTTTGAAATTGGCATCTTTTTAGTTTGCGTGAAATTGGCCAAATTGCCAATTTCTGACCACCATATTGGGTAGACCAAATTAGTAAATGGGAGGTTTCTTGTACTCAGCTGATAGATAAAATGGAGTTCTAAAGAAATAGCTATGAGTTTGGTCAACTGGAACAATGGAATTGGCTGAAAATAGGGCTCAAAGTCGGCGAAATCGCCGATACGCATATGTCGCCGAGACCGCTAACTTCGCGGGAGCATAATTCCATGAGTTTTCGACCAAATTTCGAACTTTTGGTGTCATTACCATCGGGAAAAGATTCTCTATCATTTCATAAGAAATTTTTTTTTTTTTTTTCAAAAAATTGAGCAACATAGAATGAAAGTTTCAGAAAGGGGCCTGAAACAGTCAAAGGGTTAAGAAGGAAAAATCAAAGGAAAACATAAAAACCATCACATCTGGATCAAAATGATAAAAATTTATATAAGTGACATAAAACCCATCACATCCAGATCAAAATAATGATAATTTATATAAGTGACACAAAGTTTGCTTACCTTGTTGCACGTAGGACATTCATACTTTCCGTTTATACAATGCGTAGATACATGAGCCTTCAGACTGGCCACGGAGAAGAACCCTTCCCTGCAAATGGGGCAGTCATAGCCTTTACTGCCTTCTGGGGAGTTAACATGTTAGTATAAGTGTCAATCCATTAACTGTGTAAACTAAACTACAATTTTTTGATAAAAGATACTTCCTTAGGAGTTAGTACTGCCCCATTTCTAGTGCACTGCATTTGTTGATAAGATTCCTAATTTTTAAATACTACTAAAGATATATGAGAGAGAACAACAATGATGTTAGAATTATAGTTTTCTTGCACAACTTACAAGAACTCAGGTTCTTGTAGGTTCTTTATATTAAAGGCAGAGTAGTGGTGTTAAAGAGAGTTTTCTTTGATACACTATAATAGCTCAGGATTTTACATCAGTGTCATGGCTGATAAAACATTAGCCATTTGTTGACAACCATTTTCCTTTCTTTATCTTGTGGTCAAGTGTTTCTTGTCTCTTGCCTGAAAAAATATAAAATAAGAAAAATCCTACAAACAATGAAAAAACATGGGTATGTCACTATTCTTTGACATTAATTATTATTGGGAGTAAGACTGATTGCAAAGGAGTCTTACTGTTGATATATTTCACCACAAACTGGCTTAAGAATATATTTTATTCATCATACTGTTGGCACTTTGCCATTTCTCTAGTACTGTATTATTATTACTACATTCATGGGAAGGTGCTAAACCTGTAGGGGACATCTAGTGCCTAGGGGAATAGGAGGAAATCAGGTTCAATCCAAGGAAATGGAGGTCAGAAACACTGTTGAATCCAGAGCCCCTGAATGGCATCAAGGAACCTCTTGAAGTCTCTTAAGTAAAAAACTTTGTCATATTTAATGCCTAGTGATAAAAGCACATGAAACCTAATAGTGCATCTAAATGTTTCTTATAACACTGTACATGCCTATAAAATATTGATTATCTGCTCTTTTTCACTGTTACTGAACTACTTACATTATACCAAAGATCAGTATCATTTTACATATGCTTTAGTACTGTATACAACTTTTAGCTGAAGGAAAATGTCCAGTGGGTGGTTAGGAAAAAAGTGCTATGACCAAAATATCATTCAGCAATAAATATTCTATACCTGTGCAAATGTTTTTCAGGTATGGACACCATACTACAACTGCATATTCCATAATTTAAGCATTTCTCCATATAATCTATATATCTAAAATATGTGTAAAGTGGTGTTGAGATAGGAAGGCTTGGCTCTCCTGCTAGTTAATAGAAAACAGTGTAATGGAACCAGAGATAAAACTAATGTACAATACCTTACAGTACAATCATTCTTCTGTCTGGAAACATTATTCTTCCTAAGATACTAGATGGATGCCTCTCATGAACTGTAGACTAGCATGGGTCCAATACTGCTCATATTAAAATTCATCATCCTTACTGTAATGGTGAATATACTGCACCCTCTTAGCAATATTTTTTTTATGTAACAACTCAAAACAGATTTTATTAGCATGTTTTCTAAACATCAATTTTTTAATAACATCAAATTAACAGGTAAAGGTGCTAATTTTGAAGTATCTACATAATGATTACAGCAAGTATTTGTCTTACTGTAAAGTATAGATACTGAATGTGTACATGTTGCTACTACATAAATACAATATACAGTACTCTAAATGAAATCTGAACAGCCATTACCAGACAGCCAATCTTACTAACCAGTGTGAAATTTGATATGGGTATTTAAGGCTGCATTGCTACAAAACCGTCTCAGGCACAGGTTACATCTGAAAGGTTTCTCTGCTTCATTTCCGTGAACTGCTGTGTGTGCTTCCAAACGTTCTAGTCGCAAAAATGACTGGCAGGAAAGGAAAGAGGAAAAATTTTATATGTATAATGATGCATTTTTTTTTTACACAAGTAGATATGTTTATGACATAACTACCCCTACTGACTCCAGCATATACTACAGTACCTTAAATTTAAATAAAGTTTCACCTCTTTTTTACTTATTAATATTCTTGACCTTATGTTCCACCTCCACTTTTTCTGTAGCTACTACACATACTAAATAATGATCAGACATATCATCAGCTCCTCTAAAAACCTGTAGTGGACCATACATCCAATAGCCTTTTATCTAGTACAGTAGTTTATAGTCAAACAGACTGCTCTCGTATCATACCTCATACTTCAAACACTTACCTCTTCCCTCTTGAAACTTTCATTGCCATATCTGTTATCAACCATTAATCTAAGCATTACTAAACTTAAGGTTTCTCATTATTGCCACTGAATGGCTCATATGGGTTTAGTACTTTTTTTAAATATAAGTAATCCTTGGCAATTTGCAACAAGGTCTAAATTCATTCCTCCTGTGCCTTCTATAACTATTACCCAGTTAATATACATCCTTAAAAACTACACCCTAAAATATTAATTACTGCAATATAATTAGATATCACACTTGTGACTTGATACCTGACCTACAACATCCAATGAAGCCATGGAATATATTGCAAAATATAGGCAATAGGCAATACGAATGTCTTACTTTATAACAGAAGTCGCACTTGTAAGGTTTAGTTTGGACAGGGAGGTGGAAGCCGTGCTCCTCAACATGACAGGAGAGTTCTACATCAGTCTCAAAAACCTAAATAAAAAATATATAAATATTTTTTTTTCAACAAACTGGCCATAATCCACCAAGGCAAGGTGACCTAAAAAGAAAAACTAAATTTAAAAAGAAAAACAAGTTTTTCTTTTTAAATTTAGTAATTTATACAGGAGTTACTAGCCACTTGCTCCCAGCATTTTAGTCACCTCTTTATGACATGCATGGCCTACAGAAGAAAAATTCTGTTCCACTTCCCCATGGAGAAAATACATAAAAAATATACACAAACACACACACACACAAATATTCTCCATGGGGAAGAGGAAAAGACTTACATAAGAACATAAGAAAGGAGGAACACTGCAGCAGGCCTATTGGCCCTTACTAGGCAGGTCCTTCACAAGTCCAACTCACTAACAGAATAAATGTTACCCAACCAATAAGCTTTGACAATTCCATTTACTCACGTGCAAGTCCCGCTCATATCCAACCCCTCTCACACATGTACTTATCCAACCTAAATCTGAAACTACCCAAGGTTTTAGCTTACTAGGCAGACCATTCCACTCATCAACTACCCTATTACTAAACCAGTACTTTCCTATATCCTTTCTAAATCTAAACTTGTCTAATTTGAATCCTAAACTGAACATAAGTGTCAAATCTGAATGGGGACTAGTCACCAGCGGTGCTCCACAAGGATCAATCTCAGGCCCCCCCTGTTCATAATCTACATTAATGACCCCGACGAAGGGATTACGAGTGACATGAGCAAACTTGCCGATGACACAAAGATAGGCCGTATGATTCATTCTGAGGAGGATAGCAATGAACTCCAGGAGGATCCGAACAAATTAATGTCTTGGTCTGAAAAATGGCAGATGAAGTTCAATGTTGATAAATGTAAGGTACTAGTCCTTGGTAATGAAAATAACCCTCGAAGCTATAAACTAGGTGAAGTAGAGCTTGATCATACAGAATGTGAAAAAGACTTGGGAGTCATGGTAAACAGAAATCTAAAGCCAAGGCAGCAGTGCCTAAGTGTGTGCAACAAGGCTAACAGATTACTTGGATTTATCTCAAGAAGTATAATTCTTCCTCTGTAAGCCATGCGTTTCATTAGAGGTGACTAAAATGCTGGGTGCAAGGGGCTAGTAACCCTTTTTCCTCTATAAATTACTAAACTGAAAAAAAGAAAAACCTTTGTTTTTCTTTTTTAGGTCACCCTGCCTAGGTGGGATATGGCCAGTGTGTTAAAAAAAATACATAAATATCTATATACAAAGTGCCATAAATACTGATGGTCATAAAAACAAACCCACATGGAGAAAATGAAAAAGAGTAAAGAGTACAGTACTGTACTGCATATTCTGACTTCATAATAAGGGCCTCCTCAGCAAACTCTCAAGAGTATCTCAATGTGAGACTGAAATATACACTGTTCCTCTTGTTTTATTTTCTCCATATGCCTTTGCTTTTACTATAAACATATACAGCAAGTCCCAAACTTATAAACGAGTTGCACTGCTGGTTTCTCAACTTAAAAACAAAAGAGATATGATCAAAGGAAAGGACCCATGAGTTACTGTGAACAAAAAAACTATGTCATTACAAATTAATTTTTATAACATTACTTAGGAACTATATTAAGTATTAAGATTCTAGGTGTCAATACACAAATAATCTGCACATAGGAAAAAGAAGCTTATGAGAATGTTTCAGTCCAACTTGGTCCAATTTGGACTTAAACGTCACTGTATGCTTCTCTCCTACGTGCAGGTTATTTGTGTATTGTTCCAGTCATGGTATTGTGCCTTTTTTGTTCTTTCTGTGTCAAACATTCTCAGAGAAAATCTTTCATAATAAGAGCATACTTTGATGCACTGAGGGCAAGTTTTATCCTCCTCCTTCAATGTAATGGCAGAAGCATCTTCCTCTTTGATGTCAGTGCGCTCGTGAATTTGTTGGTGTATTCTAAGTACCTGTAATAAACATATTAAAAGAAATGATTAGTCCAAACTGTGCTATTAATTTTTTAATCTCATCTATTTTTCACAACCACTCAACCCTCTTTCCATGATAGACACTGCAGTCCAATGTTAATCCTCAAACTGCAACCTCCCCATCCCTCTTTCAACAGTGCAGGCACTCTAACTTTACAATGCACTGAACTCAACTAAGCTTGACCTCAGCTTTTCAGTTCCTCTAAGCTAACACAGTAAACATTTCTACAATACTCAATTCAACAGTACATTTCTAGCAGAATATGATTTATACTATGATCACCCAATGTCTATAGTGCAGTGCTTCTTTGACAGAGTGTAGCTGAATCCTGGAGTGAAATACAAGAAATTTGACTTATGTGCACTGCTCAGGCAATGTCCTTGGGACTGGGGCAGGTCATGTATTGTGGTGTAGTCCATGAACTAACCCTTCTTCCACTAATTAGCAACTCACTAGTCACATCATGCCACTGCCTCTCTTACACTGTTTACCTTGTTAAAACAGATTTCTATCTTTTTTCTTTTTATCTTTTTTTTTGCATTTTACTAATGCCCTTTAAACAGGGCCTATAATCCATGACAATGCAGGTGACTAAGCAAGAATTTGAAAGTGCTCAAGAAAATTGACTTCTTATATAAACTGCAAGCAGTTAGAAAGTGGATTTAGTATCAAGAATGTGGCATGTACTAGGCAACTAACAGAATGATTAGAAAACATAGTAGTTAGACAGAAATACATTCAGCTACAGTATTGAGTACACATACCTCTGGCATGGTGAAGACAAGACTGCATATCAAACACTGGCTGTGCTGAATACTGTTTTCCACTAGACCAGAGTCACTTCTGTAGAACCAAACAATTGCATTATATCTCATGATTACTGCTAGATGATTCCCTTAGTTTTATAAAAAAATATATATATAACAAAAATGAGGAGGCAAATAATACAGTACACAGTACTGTACACTGTATATATGATAACTTCTTTCAACAAACTGGCCGTATCAGAGAAGGGATTACTAGCCCCTTGCTCCCAGCATTTTAGTCGCCTCTTACGACACACAGGGTTTACGAAGGAAGAATTTTGTTCCACTTCCCCATGAAGAATATGTTAACTACAATAAATATATATAGAGAATTGGTGGATGTCCAAGCATCCTGTATATAGTAAATATGTAAAACTGATGTGAATATGCTTACCCTCCAGCTCCTGCCTCGGACGTACTAGCAATAGAGTTTCCTTCCCCACACACCTGATGGGGCAAACATTGCAAGGTTGGTTAAGTAAAGGAGATTGTGTGTATTATACTAATGTTCACTTCGTGTATAAATGAAAACTCATTCCTAATAAAAATGATGTACTCTTTATACAATACTGTACACATTACATACCGGAAACTTAAAACATTCACATGACAAACTAATTATATCAGATGGGACATAAGAAACATATCTCCAATCTTGCGACTTTAATGAGATACTACCAAAATACTTTGAAAATGGTTGAGTGATCACTTACTTCTACACCCACTGCCCAAGTACACACATGCACCATAACTTGGGTTATTTCGATAAACTCAACATATTGGACAGCCTGGTAAGCAAACACATACAAGGTTTGATAGCAGCTTTTTTTTTTCTTTAACACATCAGCTGTCTCCCACCAAGGTAGGGTGACCCAAAATAAGAGAAGAAATAAATTCACGGCACTCATTCAATCGTGGTCTTGTCAGAAGTGTGCTGACATCATAGTTCAGATGTCCCTCTGAACTGGAATATTCTTGCCCTTCTTTAGAAAGCAGGCACTGTACTTTCCACCTAAAAGACTCAAATTTTGAATGTGGCTTTAGCTTTCTAGACGTATCTGGTGCTCCCTGTGATTTCCAATGTGCTCAACTTGGCGAGATAACCTATACTGAATCATTATTGTATTCATTAGGTAAGTGCTAAACCAATTAATCATTCAGCACCTGGGAAATGAGAGGTAATCAATCCAAGTAGAGAACAGTTCCAATTACTTAGAAAAAGAGTCCTTTATCAACATCAAGACACCTCCTTTAAGTGTATTCTTAATAAAGTGCTCCTAGGTAATGGTTATAAAGTTGAGTATTACTACATTTTTGAAGAAATACAGACAAATGAATACAGCTGGACTGATGAAATATCTGTATTAATCTGTGTTAGTGTTAATAAATTTGTAGTGTACAGTGTATTATATATTCTGCACTATATATATTTATAGATGGGGTTGTAAGAGAAGTAAATGCAAGGGTCTTGGCAAGAGGTGTGGAGTTAAAAGATAAAGAATCACACATAAAGTGGGAGTTGTCACAGTTGCTCTTTGCTGATGACACTGTGCTCTTGGGAGATTCTGAAGAGAAGTTGCAGAGGTTGGTGGATGACTTTGGTAGGGTATGCAAAAGAAGAAAATTAAAAGTGAATACAGGAAAGAGTAAGGTTATGAGGATAACAAAAAGATTAGGTGATGAAAGATTGGATATCAGATTGGAGGGAGAGAGTATGGAGGAGGTGAATGTATTCAGATATTTGGGAATGGACGTGTCAGCGGATGGGTCTATGAAAGATGAGGTGAATCATAGAATTGATGAGGGGAAAAGGGTGAGCGGTGCTCTTAGGAGTCTGTGGAGACAAAGAACTTTGTCGTTGGAGGCAAAGAGGGGAATGTATGAGAGTATAGTTTTACCAACGCTCTCATATGGGTGTGAAGCATGGGTGATGAATGTTGCAGCGAGGAGAAGGCTGGAGGCAGTGGAGATGTCATGTCTGAGGGCAATGTGTGGTGTGAATATAATGCAGAGAATTCGTAGTTTGGAAGTTAGGAGGAGGTGCAGGATTACCAAAACTGTTGTCCAGAGGGCTGAGGAAGGGTTGTTGAGGTGGTTCGGACATGTAGAGAGAATGGAGCGAAACAGAATGACTTCAAGAGTGTATCAGTCTGTAGTGGAAGGAAGGCGGGGTAGGGGTCGGCCTAGGAAAGGTTGGAGGGAGGGGGGTAAAGGAGGTTTTGTGTGCGAGGGGCTTGGACTTCCAGCGGGCATGCGTGAGTGTGTTTGATAGGAGTGAATGGAGACAAATGGTTTTTAATACTTGACGTGCTGTTGGAGTGTGAGCAAAGTAACATTTATGAAGGGATTCAGGGAAACCGGCAGGCCGGACTTGAGTCATGGAGATGCACTCTGAAGGAGGGGTGTTAATGTTGCAGTTTAAAAACTGTAGTGTAAAGCACCCTTCTGGCAAGACAGTGATGGAGTGAATGATGGTGAAAGTTTTTCTTTTTAGGGCCATCCTGCCTTGCTGGGAATTGGCCAGTGTGTTAATAAAATAAAATAAAATAATATCTATAAATGACAATAAAGTCCTAAATTAAACAAGCATAAAGTGAATAACAGCATTCAACCTTAATTCTCTTAATGAGCCTTTTCATCCCTGCCTCATTTTCTCCATTACCACGTGGCCGCCTTGTCTTGATCCTCCTGCGTTTTTTGCGCTCAACCTCCCCAATCTCCTGTAATATAATAAAAACATCCTTACTGGACCATACTGCATAGTTTTCTCTTATCTAACAACTTAACATATTTTGATTTCATGTGTTAAATGAATTAGAGAATATCTAACCTCATCATGACAAATTAAATGTTGTTGTAGTTCAGCAGATGACTCAAACCCTTCATCACACTCATAACAAGGCCATGACTTCTTCAGTGAGTCTAAAACTGTAATGAAATTAATTGCACTGATTACTTAAATATTAAGTGTGTAAAAATCTTATGCCACCCTTTGTTTTCACACTTTCTAAGTCTCAACACTACTTCTGAAAGATAATGACCTACCCTGAAATTTACTTTACAAATTACTAAATAATCTGACACGACTATTTCCTCTAAATAAACTGTGTGATTATCATAGCGTTGATTTATTTCCCATCTTTATAAAATTTAATTTTTTTTTTTGTAGATCCATTGTAATATCTGACAGGATCACTGTACATCAGATCCCCAACTTATGAACACATGAGTTACACTGATTTGCACTAATGAATGAGGACCAAATAATATAATACAGAGAAAATAATTGTTTTATGAATGCTGTGCCAGTATGCAGTAATGAATATCCTTTGCACTAACCTGGCCTTGGGCCACACTTGTCTGATGTATACAATTATTATATGTATTTGACACTTCTTGCCAAAATTAAAGAAAAAAGGTTTGCAAAAAAATTTAGCATAAAAAAGGTACTGTCCAAAAAGGGTGACAAAGTTCCTTAATAATACCGTAATGGATATTGTAATAATATTTGACAATCATTTTTACGCCAGATTTTAAAAAAATCAAATTACTCACATTTTATCTCTTCTTCAGTTGGCTCCAGGATGTGCAAGTTCCTTTTATCAGCATACTGCTTTGAGTATCTGTTCAAAGTATGTAAGTTTATTAAAATGGGTAACAAATAATAATTATGAGACAAAAAAATTCCAAAATTCATGTGACAATGTAGGTAATTTAAAATAATACAACTACTACAAACCCAATTCTGAGTTCTGCACGAGGTACTATGTCACTAGTGGTGAGGAAAAAGAGAGATCCATCTGTTTGCATAACCACACAATTTTGCTCCAAAAATGTTGTTGCTTTCCGGACAAATCTCATCCAATTTGAGGAACCTGTAGAGAGATGATTAACTATGAATTGAATAATTCAATGTTTGTGCTCCATTAATAATGTTTGCATTTTAAAAAGTTCTGATCTGTAATGGAAGACTATTAACCCTTTGAGGATCGCCAGGCCCTCTCAGAGACTTGTTCTCAGGGTCGCCAAAATTTCCAAAAAAAAAAAAAAATTATTTTTTTTATGAAAAGATAGAGAATCTTTTCCCAATCATAATGACACCAAAATTATGAAATTTGATGGAAAACTTACGGAATTATGCTCTCGCGAAATTAGCGGTCTCGACGATGTTTATGCATTGCCGATTTTGCCCACTTTGAGCCCTATTTTCAGCCAATTCCAGTGTACTGGTCGACAAAAATCATAACTATTTTGCTAGAACTCCATTTTTTCCATCGAATGAGTACAAAAAACCACTCATTTACCAATTTCAACTATCCAATAAAGTGGACAGAATTTAGCAATTTTGCCAATTTCACACAAATTTCAAAAGATGCCAATTTCCAAATAGGGTTCAGAATAAACAAGAAAGTCATTCCTGGCACTAAAATAACATTTTCTCTGTTTATTAGTCACATCCCCACACCCCTCTTACATTTCTTTTGCTTTCCACTTTGAATTTTTATTCTCACAAAAAATAGAATATTTACTGTTATGCAGACTACTGTATTAGTGTAGAAATGGTATAAACAATACCAGCGCACTTGTGAAAGAATATTAGATTCACCAGTTGACGTGTATTGGACGCGTGGCATGATTTATTTACTTTTGAACTTCGGCAAAAATCGAACATTTCTGCTACTTTGAGCTCAATTTCAAGGTACTTTTCATTGTGAAACCAATCAAAATCATCTCAATTTTTGTAATATGTCTTCCATTCTACAAAACAAGACCAGGAAAACTAGAATACAACCATAAATACCATACGAAAATAAAGTGCAAAGTCGCTGTTTTAAACCAAAAACACGGTCAAAGTTTTTTTTCTCATTACGCACTGTGTGCTGCAGGATTTTTTTATACTGCGCACACTGACCACATAGACCCATTCTTTCATATGTAGGTCTACCAGGTTTCTCTCACTAGATTTGAGGGCGCTAGAATTTATGCATACTAGTACGTCAAAAACCCTGGCGCATAAGCCATACTAGTACGGCCGAAACCCCAAAAGGGTTAAGAAAGAACTGATACATAAAGAGAAATTCTGGAATTTCTCACATAGTTTGGTCCAGCTGTAACATATATACCCACTATATCAAAGAATAAACCTGGATACATTATTCTAAAAACTATATACAATATATAAATTAGGGTGAAAAACACAGGGCAAGTGATTTAATGCAAATTATACCTTCATCAGAAGTATCAATATACAGGACTTTCTCTCCAGAACTAATGGTGAAGACAAGACCATGGGGAGTCTCGCTAGCTTCAGTTTTCACAACACCCTCTAAGGGACCAAACTGTGTTCTCTTTGGTATGGACTTGCGAGCAAACACACCAAAATCTACAAGAAAAGCATACATTAAAAGAAATTCTCTGAAGAATAAAATAAATTTTGCCTGTCAAAATGGCAGAATTATACAGAGCATAGCTGTCAAAAAAAAAAAAAAAAAAAAAAAAAAAGCAACAGAATGATATGCACAGGGGCATTTAATGTGCATATTCCTTTAAACTAATTAGAGAACTTTCACTGCCCACATAACTTCAAACAAACTCAAGTTTCTGGGAAAGCCTAAAAATCCCAAAGTGTATTCCTTGAAGTGCAGGGGAGGAAAGTAAATAGATGGTCAGAGCATATTTAATTGAATATTGTATAACTTGTCACAGGTGAACCCAATTTTATAAATGAACTGCAGAATAAAAGAATTACAATTAATTAATACCTTCTGTATTTGGAATTTTGCGAATTAATAAATGTTGAGCAGGAAGAGAGGCCCAGGCTCTGGTCCTGACAGGTTTGTCAGATATGGCTTGTACGTGGTGCTGGGAACAGTCATGACCATGTATCTCTTCACATTCACCACAATCTTTAGCAAGAAGGAAAATACATTATTATTAATACATAAAAACAGCTAAATTTAAATGTCAAAAAAAAAGTCAGTAGCAAATGGCAGGTGTTAAATATAAAATTTAAGAATAAAGCTGTGAATTGGCTTACAAGAGTTGTTTTATATTTGTGGTGATTGTAACATACTTGTAGCTAAAATATTTAGCATATTAATTATAAGTTCTTAATGATAGGGAAATTAGCCAAAATGATCTCTGATACTTTAACTATCAGTAAAGTTTATGTAATGCTGTACCACCTCAGTATCCACGATGCATGAGTTCTGTGGAAACTCATTTGTGGTCAGCTCTCAGATACAAACCTTATATTTCCATAAAAAAAAAAATGAGAAACTTTTTTGACCTCAGTGGCCTCCATGTACTCAGACATGCTGTACTCTAATATTAGCTGAATATTTTATGTCATTCTTGGTCATTCATGGTACAAACTGGTTATCTAACAGACATATACAATATTATGCAAGCAAGTTGATGTAATAATACTGTAAGTACAAGCAAACTGCAGATCCAGGGGCAAAGCTCAAGGATAATACCATATCAAAGCTCCTGATTAAAGGACAAAATACTGCACCAAAGTTGATGTTCCAAAAGCCAGGTTTGAAGACAAAAACATAATATCATATCCAAGTCAAGGATCTAGGAAATAGCTCAGCCATTGATAAATGACAATACAGTACTATAATTCATTTAAACAAAACTGGAGGATCACAAGATTTATTAATGTGAAACCTGGGGATATGGAGGAATTGTTCTTCAATAATGCATCTAGTCAGGAAGAATTAATATTTTTTCACCTCCCTTACACTACTACTACTACTTCTTTCAACAAACCAGCCATATCCCACCAAAACAGGTTGGCCCAAAAAGAAAAACAAAAGTTTATCCTTTTAACTTCAGTAATGAATACAGGATAAGGGGTTACAAGCCCCTTGCTCCCACTTCCCCATTGAGATAAGAGGAAATAAACAAGAACAAGTACTAGTAAGAAAAAAGAAGAAACCAGAGGAGTATGTATATCTTTCTTATCTTTCAACCACAGCGTATCCACTGAGGTGGGGTGACAACAAGACAAACGAAAAGTTTCTCCTTTTAAATTAGTATATAACCAGGAGAAGGGGTATTATCTAAGCCTTGTCACGATTTTAGTCGCCTCTATGAACGCATGGGTTAGCAGAGGAATGAATTCTGTTCACTTCCATGGAATGAAGGAAATACACAGAACAAGATCAAGTAAAAAAAACAGGCTCCAGGGGTGTTATATATACTTGGACATTATGTGTAGGTGATTAGTGTAACGAAGTAGCAAGCTACCTGAAACCTTGCATGCTCATGAAGAGAAATGGACTACCATCATCCTTCCATCATGTAAACTATTACGGCTAAGTTTTACACTCACTTGGCAGACGGTAGTACCTCCCGGGATGGTTGCGTGTTTCACCTCTACAACAAGACGTGGCTAATATCCTTGTATAGCATATATAGTGTGACCTAAGTGTAATAGTACGAAAGTACGAAAATTCTCTTGTTTTTCTTCTTTCAACAAACCGGCCATATCCCACTGAAGCAAGGAGGCTCAAAAAGAAAAACGGAAGCTTCTCTTTTTAACTTTAGTAATATATACAGGGAAGGGGTTACTAGCCTCTTGCTCCCAGCATTTTAGTCGCCTCTCACAACACGCAAGGTTTACAGAGGAAGAATTCTGTTCCACTTCTCCATGGAGATAAGAGGAAACAAGGACAAGAACTAGTAAGAAAAATAGAATAAAGCCCAGAGGAGTGATGTATTTTTTTTTTTTTTAACAAGTCGGCTATCTCCCACCAAGGCAGGGTGACCCAAAAAGAAAGAAAATCCCCAAAAAGAAAATACTTTCATCATCATTCAACACTTTCATGTGTAGTGTGACTTAAGTGTAAGTAGAAGTAACAAGACATACCTGAAACCTTGAATGTTTTCTTCTTCTTTCAACAAACCAGCTGTATCCCACTGAGGCAGGGTGGCCCAAAAAGAAAAACAAAAGTTTCTCTTTTTAAATTTAGTAATTTATACAGGAGAAGGGGTTACTAGCCCCTTACTCCCGGAATTTTAGTCGCCTCTTACAACACGCATGGCTTACGGAGGAAGAAATTCTGTTCCACTTACCCATGGAGATAAGAGGAAATAAACAAGAACAAGAACTAGAAAGAAAATAGAAGAAAACCCAGAGGGGTGTGTATATATATATGCTTGTACATGTATCGTGTTGTGTGACCTACATGTAAGTAGAAGTAGCAAGACGTACCTGAAATCTTGCATGTTTATGAGACACCAGCAATCCTACCGTCATGTAAAACAATTACAGGCTTCCGTTTTACACTTGCCTGGCAGGACAGCAGTATCTCCCTGGGCGGTTGCTGTCCATCAGCCTACTACTTAGGTTCCCTTACACTGCTAACACATAATAACAATCATTAAATTTGACTTAGAGTTAAATACTGTCTGGAATGTGTGTAACTGTCTATTGACAATTAATTAATAGGGATTAACTAGTACAGCATATATGTTAGAAAAATATAAAAAAAAAAATTCTTTCTTAGCTACCCCATTATAAGTGTCAGTGGTGGTGCTCTGTCAGCACAGTAATATTCCTAATATAACTGTACTGTAGTAGCCAATGATCCTCTAATATTTTACTGCTTACTTTGCTAAAGTTTATTGCATTTGTTTATTAACTATGTTGCGTGTTAGATATGAACAAAACGTTTCAACATCATGTCTAACCTTTTGTACTTGAAATTTTGGGAATCACCAGCTGTTGTGTAGGAAGGGACACCCAAGCCTGGGTTTTTGTAGGCTTTCCAGATTCATCTTGTAAGTGGTGTTGTGGACATTCGTGGGCATATGTTTGTTCACATTCCCCACACCCTACAATAAACGTAACAGCACAAATCTCACTAATGGCTGAAATTATCACTGATACACATATCTGAGTCTTTTTTTTTTAAGGTCACCTTTCAACATTTAGAAAAGAATTACTAACTAAATTATTTCCATAAACTTTATTCATAAAATTATAAAAAAAAAAAATGCATTTTTTGTGAATTTTCATATTTCTTTGTTTGATGAATACATCTGCATTTCCAACTAACTGTTGCACTTAATGAAAAGCAGCACTCTTCTGCTAAACAGAAACTAAGTAGTACTATATCAGGAAATTAGCTTTTCATTAGTACATGATTAAATGTGTGGCTGGGTGGGTAAACATGTGGTTTTGCTTGTGGGTAGACCTAATGATTTATAGTGCTAAAGAACATACTTTCTAATCCAGGGTGTTTGAGAAAGATTTGCACTTACACAAGAATTAATATTTCAGAAATATGACAGAAGTGAAACAAGTAACTCTTCAAAGGTATTCAAACTAATATACTGTATGTATATTATCATGCTCAAGCTATTTTCTGCCAAAATATTTCTCTTTTCTTTTCTAGACCACATTGCAATGCTTACAATACACTTAGCAAGATGAGGATTTACTCACAAAAATCTGCTCCAATGAATCCTGCTTCTACTTCTTGGCCAGTGGCAGAATTGACTTCATTCTCACCTCTGCCATTAGGTTCATCATTTGCAAGACCTTTTGCGGTGTTCTTCACTCTTGCTGATTGCACACTCTATGAAGTAAACTTATTACCATATGTCTCTCATGGTTATTTTCTTATTAAATACTATACAAGCTATTCTAACCAACCATGTACTCAATTTTGGGAAAGTATTAGAAATGTCAACAAAATGATATCACTATTTATTTTAATACTGTGCTTTTCAGTCATATTAATCAATACAGGACAGAGTAAAACTTTTCTATGTTTAAAAACTTAATTATGACATCAAATAATTGATATATAGCATATTTTATTCACTTACACACTCCCTTTTCATAATCAAACACTCACTCCTTTTGGTACTGCTATACACTCCATTAGGTCTTTTTCCTAACTGATTCAAGACAGTGTACTGTAGGTTTACTTGCTAGTTGCCTGTACAAAAACTTCATCTGATGGCTTACTTTGTTATATCCTAATGTCATCCCCTTTTAAAACCTTTCTCGATATACGTATTTGTTAATTTCAAATTAACAAATACGTATATTGAGAAAGAATGAAATTAACAAACATGTGTATCGAGAAAGGTTTTGAAAGAGGATGACATTAGCATATAACAAAGTAAGCCATCAGATAAAGGTTTTTGTACAGGCAACTGGCAAGTAAACTTATAATACACTGTAGGTAAGTTACTGTTTGTTGCATAATACATACAGTTTCTCAGTACAGTTAAATATGCTAAGTACTAACCTGTAAAGCTGATGGTCTAAGGCTAGGAACAAGATTGCTGGCTTCACCTTGCTCTATCTGTTTTTCTGTCAGAGAAAAATATAAATATTAAAGGACTACTTTTGTAATA